AACCCAAACCATTCTGTGATTCCATGATCTTCTTTGCACCCTCCCTTATATATATTGATGAGATCCCCCTGAGCCTTTGCTTCTCCAGGCTGAACAGTCCCAGCTCTCCCAGCCTTTCTTTACAGGACAGATGCTCCAGTCCCTCAGTTATCTTAGTGGCCCTATGCTACACTCTCCTAGGTGTGCAGTGGCCTCACCAGTGCTGAGCAGAGAGGAAGGATGACCTCTCTTGACCTACTGGCAATACTGTGCCAGCCCAGGACACTGTTGTCCATCTTTGCTGCAAGGGCACATTGCTGGCTCATGGTCAATTTGGTGTCCACCAGGGTCCTTTCTGCAGAGCTGCTTCCCAGCTGGTCAGCCCCCAGCATGTCCTGGTGCATGGTTATACCTTTCATCACTCCTTTTAAACAAAATCCTTGGGTTCAACCACCCTGGCCTGCCACTTTCCCATCCCCATCACAGCAGGGTCAAAATACCAGGTGCAGCCTTGCTCTCCAGATAGTCTTGACCCACTTGGAGAACCAATCCCCCTATTGCTCACCTGCTCCTAAGCCTTTGTTCCACAGGAGAAGGCAGAGCTGCCAGGCATGGGCAGTTTGTCAGACTCTGGAGCTCCCCGATCTGCTGGTGACTTTTCCTGCATGTCCTTAGCTCTTGCAGCCATTTCAGTATTTATCATGCCAGAAAAAACTTGTGGCCAGGATTCTCATAGCTCTCAAACTGGGCTGAAAATCAAGTGAGGCACCGTGCAGCATGGAGGAGGTCAGGCCCTCAGGGCCAGCAGGAGTGGGTGGATGGTGCAGGAGCCTATGGTGGGCTCTGCAGCCCCTGGTACCACGCAGCTGCTAATTGAGGTGGTGGAGGTCCCTGCTCCGAGCTGGTAGAGATAACTGTGATGTTAGGTCAGGTTTCTGTCCGCGCCATGGGGCTGGCAGTGTAGGGCACCAGCCCTGCCTTGTTTGGCCCTTGTGGCTGGGACAGGTCATCTTGTCGAGCGCTGGGAGATCTTGTTGCTGTTGCCCAAAGGGGTGATTACAGGCCTGAGCCCCTGGGACTGGTCTGACCTGCCTGACTCCTGCGCTCCAGAACAATGCAAGCACATCAAGTCCCTGGCAGAGGGCAGGCCCCCTCCTCCACACTTGTCCAGACTTGTCCCCAGTAGCCTCCAGCCCGGCTGGAGACTCCTTGCTGTGCGCAGGCCAGGAGGAAGTGCTGATCCTGCAGGTGGGTGATGCCGTAGGGTTCCCTGGGGAGCCACACCAGCCTGGTTCCTCTTCCTGTCCCTGGAGAGGGAGGTCTGAGTGGGGCTGAACAAGGAGCTGCCTGCATCCCAGCAGGTCCCTTGCAGCCAAAGAGGACAGGGATCCCAGGCTGATCTCCATCCTCCTTCTCTCTCTTTTCAGATGCTGCATTGCAGTGCATCCCATAACAGAGGGCTCACCCGGACGTCCTGAGCAAGGCAGGGACAAGCTCCCACCTCCTGTCCTCGCTCCCTGACCTGTGGCACTTCACAGCCCCCCTCCTGCTGCTGCATGGGCTGTTCTGACTCCGGCTCCGCTTGGAGTCCAGGCAAATAAGGCTCCATGCGGCACATCCATGCAGAAACGTCCCTGCCCCCAGAACGCAGCAGGGACCCCAGCCTGTCCCGGTCCAGTGGAGAGGCACCCTTGGAGCCTTCTTCGCAGCACTGCACGCGCCACAGTATCCTCATGGGCTACAATGAGACAGAGATCAAGCGCCAGAAGGTTTATCAGGTCTCCATCTTCTCCCATCTCTCCAACTCCTCTGAGAGCACAGAGCAGCAGGCAGGCAGCCGGCTGGCCATCAAGAGAGGTTACCCTGAGCAGCGAGCTCCGGAGAGGGGACGAGATCCCAAACGAACTCACTGGGGTGGCAGGGTGGTGGATGGCAAGCGTGATGGGGGCCCTGGGCCGGCCTCCCTCGATGATGATGACACCTTCGAGGATGGTCTGCTGGTGGAGGAGCTATCCCTGTGCGGCTCTGCCCAGCACTTCTCCCACAGTGGGCTGCGAGTGGTGGAGCACCGGTGTGAGGGCAGCCCTAGCCACAGCCCCAAGGCCAGCAGAGAGGACAAGTCACATGATGTCTCCTCCTCCTCCTGGCCACAGCACGTTGCTTGCAGTACTTTGCACATGAGAGGCGGTTGCCTTGCCTCATCAGGGGATCAACCTACAGACTATGGGGAGAATGGGGAGCAGGCAAGTGGCCACAACTTACTTCACCTTGATTTGCACAATATTGCACAAACAGTCCCTTTGGACTCTGATGGGAAGAGAGAGAAGCCAGGGAGCAGTCCAGCTCACAGCAGCAGGGCTAGTGGAGAAGAGGAATGGCCAGCAGTGGCCAACGGGTGCAAGGAGCCCCCAGCTCTGCAGACAGCACTCAGCCCTGAGCCCAGCAACCTGACCTCCCTGGAGAAGACGCCCTGCGGGACCAGCCAGCTCAGCAGCAGCTGCCCGGCCAAAAGGAAGCTGCTGCCTGCTGGCGAGGTTGTCGCCGACTCCTGCTCTGAGGATGAGAGCCTGTCCCCGCCAGCAAGGAAGAAGAGGGTCCTACTATGCCATCCGGTGCCCACGGCCTGCCGCAGCACCGATGCCAAGGGGGCCCCATTCTGGAATCACCTGCTTCCCACAGCCAAGGTGAGCATTGCTTGTGCCGGGAGGCAGGGAATAGCCTGGGGATGCCCAGGGCTGTCCTCGTGGGCGGCATGGTCCATCTCGGCACAGTGCCCTGTCCCTGTGACGCAGCAGTCGTGTGAGCAGGGCAGCAGCTGACAGCCAGCTCTGGGACACACATCTGTAGATTGTCACCAGCTCCTGACACCTCGTAGTCACTGGATTCCCTGCTTGCAACCAGCTCTTTAGCCTGGAGAGCCTTGCTTGGACAGGGTATGACCTCCCCCTGATAGCAAGAGTTGGACACATGGTGCGGCGCCACACTCAGTGTCTGACAGCTTCACGTTAAGCTGGACTTACTAGCAGGCTTGGGAAGACCAGCTGGCCTCTGCCTGCCTGATGATGAGGAAGGCAGAGATATGGGATGGCTTGTGTCCCTGGCCATGATATCCACCAGGACAAGGGTTTGGTGGCAGGGAGCAGGACTGGACATGCTCTGGCCAGGGAGTGGGAGCCCCAGTGCTGTATGCAGAGATGTGTCTGGCTTTTCTGCAGTTCTGGGGTGCTCATGGCATGTCCCCAGAGTGCCACAAGCTCTCAGAACTGGGGCGGACTCTGGAGGTTTGCAACCACCCTGCGATTCCTCCCTGTTAAGCTCTCCCTCCTGACCAGCTCCCTGCTTTCACCATGTCCTGCCAGCTGAGGCTGCAGCAGGCTCATGCCAGAGCTGGCACGCTCCTCTCTTTTTCCCTGGGACATCCCATGGTGCAGGGACCTGCAGGCACTGGTGGCAGAGCTGCCCTGGCTTCTTGCTGCTTGGAGACAGGACACAGCGTCCATGGGCCACAGCTCTGTCCCTGCCTGCGTGTCCTTTTTGGTGACTGTCCCCCAGCCTGGCTGCCCCCAGCACTGCCCTTGCAAAGTGAAGCCCTCCAGCAGCTTCCCTGGGTTTTCCTGCCCGGTCATGCCAGCCAGCTCCATCATCCCTTTGTGTTGTGCTGCCCTTTGTGTGGTTTCCAGAAGGGAGAACCCCTGAAAAGGGGACATCTTTAAAATGAGGCAGCAGTGTGGTCCTGGCTTTAACCCCCCCACCCTACAGCTGTAGGAGCCTGGCTGTGGGCAGAGGCGGGCAGCACGCTGCTCTGCCCAGCGCCACTACTGAGGACATTGCATGAATGACCATGGGATGGGACTTTTCACAGGCTGGTCAGGAAGCTTCATTGTATGTGCGAGGGGGTGTCTTGTCACTGTGATTTGTCCTGAGACTTGCTGTGCAGGGTGGGAGCAGTGGGCTGCACACTTGGCTTGGGTACCAGCACCCTCCTCCCCAGCAGAGCCACTTTGGGGTTTGGGCAGCCTTACATGTCCACCAGACACTGCAGCCCTCACCCTGTAGAGGCCACTGATGGTTCTCCATGGATGGGAGACTCTGATCTGCTGGGACTCTTGTGGGACAAGGCAAGGGGTGATGGCACCTTCCGGGATCCCCAATTGCTGCCCTAACGTGGTTCTCGATTTTGTGTTCCATCCAGAGCTCTGCGGATTGCACTGCGGTCGGGAGGAGGCTGAAGAGCGGGCTGCGCCTCAAATCGTGAGTGTCCCAGCAGCCCTGCGGGATGGACATGGGGTCCCCAGCCACCCCAGCACCCTGCAGCCCCAGGGGAGGGTCAGGTTGGGTTTAATCCCTTTTTCCTGTCCTGCCCCAGGCGTCTCCCCTCCACAAGATGCCAGACTGTGGGGCAGAAGGTTTCTTTTGCCTCTGGTGGGCAGGAAAGCGAACTCAACCTCCATCAAAGAAAAGGACAGGGGGACCTGGGGAGGGCAGCCCTGGGCTGCGTGCTCTCTGGTCTGACAGCAATCATCTCTCCTTTCTCAAAGGCGACATCTTCGGAGCAGCCTGCGGAGGGGTACCAGGTCCTCTGCAGTGCCCTGGGCCAACACCACCACTGTCAGCCATGCTCTACTGGGCAACTTTGAGGTAACGGTGGCCACCTGCCAGGGAGGGAGGTGGGTTCTGGGGGCTCCAGGCCGAGCTGGCAACGGGCATGAGAGGCTGAATCTGACAGGATTCCCGGCGTGGGGCTGAGCCGATTGTCCCCAGGGGACTGGCGTGCAGTGGCTGTGTCACACAGCCACCATCCGCCAGCAGGATGTCTCATCCAGCAGATCTTTGGGTGATGCGCCTGGCCCTTGCTGAGATGGCTGCTGCGGGGCTGAGCCGAGGCACTCTCGCTGCTTCTCTGTGTTAGATGGCTGGTTTTAGCCCACCAATTCAGGATGGGTCTGTCTCAGAGCAAGCAGGCAGGGCCCCTCACGGGTGGTCTCTGGAAAGCTGGGAGACATGCGAGAGCAAGCAGACACGTGATTGCAGTGGAGATGGGCTTGATCTCACCTGCAGCTTCAAGGTGAGGAGCAGGACTGGTGTTCAAAGGTCCGTAACGCTTCCCTTCTCTCTCAGGAGTCCATCCTGAAAGGGCGCTTTGCACCGTCGGGGAGGATCGAGGGATTCACAGCAGAGATTGGTGCCAGTGGCTCCTACTGCCCCCAGCATGCCACTCTGCCCGTTGATGTCACCTACTTTGACATCTCTGAACACAGCGCGCCCTCGCCTTTCCTGGTACGCGGACGAGGGAGGGCTGGGACCATTGGGGAGGTGAGTGGTGGCTGTACCCAGGCACTGTGCATCCTGGGGGCTGCCCCTCTCCGGAGAGTGCAGCTTGAGCAACCACCTGAGGAGACCACTGGCTGTGCCAGGAGCAGTATTTAACCAAAAAAGCAAAGAGGGGGAAAAAAAGGGAACCCTTGCAGGCATATAAACAGGCAGGCTGCTGCTCAGCTATCTCACAGCTGTTGCTTTGTCGTCACCTCTGTGTTGCTGCTTCTTCGTCCCTGGGTCTGGAGAGAGACTGAGCTGGGTGTCGTCTTGCTGCCTTGTGCCAGGCGTTTGTGGTGAGGGGGGGCTCTCGGCTCTGGGCCGGGTCCCAGCTGGGCTCTCCATGGGCTTTCTCCCTCTCTCACGTGCTCTTTCTTTTGCCCCAGGGAGTGATTGACTTGGAGGCCTTGGGAAAGAAGGGTTACAGTGTCCCCAAAGCTGGAACCATCCAAGTGGTGAGTCTGTCCCCTGGCCTCATGGGGAGGGGGCTGGGTGGGCTCCGGTCGCCCCCCAGCATGGATACGCTCCATTACATTGTTTGGCAGGGCAGCAGCCAGAAAGCTTATGTAGGGGGGATATGTGGCCACCAAGACAGCACAGCGGAGGGGAGCATGGGATCCCCAGGGTGCTTGCAGGGAGACAAGGTGATGAGAGATGCAGAGAAGGAAGAGGTAGGTGGGGAGGGATGGGGTCTCGACAGGAGAGCATGTACCTGTAGTGGGGATGGGATAGGAGCACAGGAGTGGAGGTGGGTGGAAAGGACCAACCTGCAGGCCTCAGGCTAAGCCCTCTGGGGCTGGTGTGGGGCTTTCTGGACCCTTAGGCCTGCTGGTGCTGCCCCCCAGATGCCCCAGCCCTGCCCTACAGATCCATTCTTGTGCCCTTCCTTGTCTCACCCCCTACCCCCTCTGCCCCCAGACCTTATTTAACCCCAACAAGACTGTGGTGAAGATGTTCTTGGTGACGTACGACTTCCAGGACATGCCAGCCAACCACATGACCTTCTTACGCCATCGCATCTTCCTGGTGCCCGTGGAGGAGAAGGAGGGGGCCACCGTGGCCACCAGCAATCCGCTGGGCACTGGCCCACCCCGCAGGGTCCTCTGCTACCTGATGCACCTAAGGTAGGGCATGCCAGGAGGGATGGATACCAGCCCATGGGTCACCCCTTGGCTCCTCTCCCATGTGTCCCTGCCTCCCCTAGACCTTCAGGCCAGAACAGGGGGATGGCAGCCTGACCCCTCACCCTGGGGAGGAGCAGGGACACTCCTTTAGGGAGGTTGGAGCTGCGACCCTGCCCAAGGGCAGTGCTGTCACTCTGAAGGCATAAGCGTGGCCAGCTTGACCAGGGACCAAAGTAGATGGGGGGGTTGTGTCCCACTGAGGTTGTCCTGCCCTTGCCTGGGAGCCTGAGTTCCCTCCACCCAGCTCTTGTCTCCATTCAGGTTTCACAGCTCCAAGTCAGGGAAGATCTACCTTCATGACGACATCCGGCTGCTTTTCTCTCGCAAGTCGATCGAGGTTGACTCGGGGATCCCCTACGAACTGAAATCTTTCACGGAGATGCCGAGAAACCCCTGCTACTCACCCCGGGCCTGACCTTCTCCATCCCCCAGGACCCCCAGACAGCCCCTAGACCAGCACTTTGCGGACAGATGAGTAAAGGGCCAGCAAGCAAGCACCACCTCAAAGTATCACCCTCCCTGCGTGCCCCCGTCCTCCTGAGCAGCATGGAGGCCATGCACGTGTCCTGTGGCAGGGCTAGGATCATCAAGGGAGCTTCACCGGGAGGGACAGGCTCTGAGGAGTGGCCCTGGCCCTCCAGGACATGGTCAAGCCTTCTGCCCACGCTGCTGCCAAGTTGGAGACTTGGCTGGAGCTTGGGGTGGGAGGGTGAATGAAGAGTTGGGTGGGGGGCTCTGGGTGAGGCTGCCCATGCTGGTTCCGGGGTTGGGAGCAGAAAGTGCGGAAAAGTTTGTATTTATTAGTATTTATTGTTGCTGGGAGCGCAGAGGTGGCTTGTGCAGAGGATCGGAGGTGCTGTGCTGTTTTTCCCCCCACCCTGTTGGCGCTGGATGAGGCCCCTGGCAGTGCGGGGCTGCCCAGGTTGGGGCAGGGCTCTGGGGACTGTGAGGGTGACTGGGGTCGGGGACATCTTGACCTGTGGGAGACAAGGTGACCTACCTCTTGGCCAGGGTGCAGCTCCTGGGCTGGGGCTGTGTTAAAAGCCCTGGGAGAGGCTGAGACTTGGTTGGGCACCAGCTCTGTGGGGCCAGCCCCATTTCAGGCAGCTTGGGGAGGCCTGGACTTGTCCTCCCACCCCCCGAGAAGTCTGTGGCTGGCAGGGCCATGGCCATTGCCAGGAATCCTGGGGCTAAGAGACATGGCTATCACACAGATGGGAACCTGGGGCTCTCTGCAGGAATATGGGGGCAGGCCTCCTTACAGAAGCCTCCTGAGGCTGTGTGTGTGGGTCTGAGACAAGGTGGAGATTGCCAAAAAATCACAGCCAGGAGGTGGCTTTGGGCAGGGGCCTGCTGGCAGCGTGATCAGGTGCTGGAGGACGGGCAGGAGCCCTAGCTTAGTGCCTGGGAAGAGGAGAAGCAGTGGAGGATGTCAAATGGGAGTCAGGTTAGACCTTCATGAGGGGGTTTGGGGCTGGTCTGGAGCAGCCTGGGGAGCTGCGGGACAGGCTC